TAAATTCTAGTTTATATATAAATAAATAGATTAAACATTTTTTTTATTCTTCACAAATAAATGCACATTTTAGGACATGTTAAACAGTGCTCAAAAAATAATTCAGTTTATAGAAATCTCCTGTGATACCTGTTCTATAGTGACCCTACATCAAGGTTGAGAACAGTACGATAAACCTACAGTTACATTTTTTTGGTGTTGTTGGTTGGCACTGCGTAGTGGGGTGAAAGGAAGTCACAGTAATTGTTTGGGTTATAATAGAATGCAGATGAAGGTCAGAGCTAAATTGATTCACAGGAAGTGACCCGTTTCAAATCCTGGTGTCCCTGTAGAAAAATTGTGTGGTGTCAGAAAAAAGAGAAGATGGTGTTTCTGGTAAGGTGGGTTTTATAGGTATCCATCATCTGTACTTTATAAAATATTGCTCAGTCATTGCAAATAAAATGCTTGATTAACATCCACGCAAACAACACAATAAGTGAAGAACTAAAATATAGATCTTTTTAGTGGAATCTGACCTTGATATATGGGGAAATCATTGTGAATTGGAACTCTTAACAATTTAATCATTTATACTTTGGTTATACAGTGGCTAATTAACCAGCTTTATAAGATAATATGATTAAAAAAAAAAAAGTATCTTGGAAGTATAAATCTAAAAAATATAGCATGTCAGTGTTTAATCTGTAATCTTCTTGGCAGCATCACGGTAGTATTATTTTCCTTCTTAGCGGAGTTCTTTAATGCATTGTTTTCTCTCTGGAATGAGCGAACCAGATAAAAAGAGAGACATCATGTGAAAGTCGTAGGAGTGTGTCCTCTAGTAACTTGTGACTCTAAAACCATGTTGACAATATTTCTAGTTGAATAAAAGAGGTTAAGCTTACATAGATAAGTAACAAAAGTCCTGTAGGCTTTGAAAGGATGTCACATTAACTAGTTTAATGATATATGATCAGTGTCCAGAGACAAGTCTGGCAATAGTAAAATTGTAATGTGCCACAAGCATCCCAGGTTTCCTGTTATATCTTAAAATCATGATGGGAATGAGTTAACGTACCCTCCAGGCCTATATGATCCTGATATGTCTCTCAAACACATGCAGTGTATTAGAACTTTGATTTTTCCTAATAAATGTTAATTTTAATAAAGGCACATGTTAAAGTTCTTTCATCACACCCACTCGGTTTTATGATTGTCTTCCCAGATCCTCGCCAACCTTGTCATGGAAACCCTCCTCCCTGAGATGAGAGACCTCATCACCCCCAAACTGAAGGGCAAGATGCATGAGAGACAGAGGAATTGGATGCTGGTACTTCACACATTTTATATGTGCTAGTCCTGCATGGAATCTGCAAGTTGTTTCTTTTTTTTATTACTATTTTATTTTACAACAGAGTATAATATGTGGGTCAGAGCTTTACCTGTAACATGTGGCTATAGCCCAAAAGCAATTTTAAAACAACTAGGATGTATTACAGTGGCTTCTGTTTCATTTTTGGCCAGATATCAGATGCAGTGTACGGGCTGGTTCAGAGCCAGACTCAGGCGCAGTATGAAGCAGTAGTGCAGAGCTGTGAAGCCGGTCGCCCCGCACTGGAAACCACCATCCGCACAGACATGGACCAGATCATCACTTCCAAAGAACATGTGTGCAGCAAAATAAGAGGTAGCTTTAACTGGTAATTTATTCCATCATTTATCTTTATCAAGTCACACAGACGTCAAGTAACTTACCTGGAATCAAAACTGCCAAACATTTACCTGAGGAAAACTGACATCAGATCATATCAGGTTTCTAGTGAAGTTTATCTAAAAGGGATTGTGAAAGAAGGTGGCCGACAAATGTCACATTTTGACAGCTTACCTTAAGTGTTATTGATGAATGAGGATGACGTACTGTACTTGACAGAAAGTGTCCTTCTGAAACCACTGACACCTAATTTCCTGCCTATCCTTCCTGTTTTTTCATTTATCAATATTTGATATTTAATAGTTTCTGCTAATTTTAATATTTACATTATCATCTAGCACTTACATATCATGACAAACATTTAACCCTTTAAGAGCAGAATGTCTTTTAGTGGCTGTGTACATGTAAGATTTAACCCTTTAAAGGGGTCCTATTATGCTCTTTTACAGAGTCTTGATTTTGTTTTGGGGGTGTATTAGAACAGGCTCTCATACTAGTTTGTTCCTAAAACACATTATTTTTCACATATTTTACATTATTACAACACCTCTCTCCCCAGTCTGGCATGAACGGCCGAAGAAATTTACATAAAATGGTTCTGTAATATCTCCTAAGATCCAGAACATACCAGCATAAACGCTCCAGATAAAATATTTGTTATTTAGGCTAAGCATCAACATTCACAATCACAAACCACTGTTATTTTTAACAGAAAAGCAAGCATGTGCTGCTGTGTGCATGGTTTGTCATGGCAGAATACCAGCAGCGCGCTTCCTTTATTATCACTAAAAGCTGACATCTCAGTTAATTGCGATCTCATAAAGCTCTGTTATAACACTAAATATACTAAATATATGCACAATGAATCTTTCAGAGTGTCTAAAATGAGAGGATTCGTGAGCACGCAATTTCAGCACTGCGGTGAGTAGATTCTAACTTGATCACCTCTGATTGGCCATTGCGTTCCAGAAATCAACAGCTGAGTCTGTGATTGGCTACATTGCGCAACCCTTTAAACACGTGTTATAAATAGAAACTATGCCTAGCTTGCGCATGTAATCTATATAGATTTTTTTTCAGTCAATCGAAGAAATTTACATGAAATGGTTCTGTAACATCTCTTAAGCTCCACAACATCCCAGCATAAACGCTCCCGATAAAATATTTGTTATTTAGGCTAAGCATCAACATTCACAATCACAAACCACTGTTATTTTTAACAGAAAAGCAAGCATGTGCTGCTGTGTGCATGGTTTGTCATGGCAGAATACCAGCAGCGCGCTTCCTTTATTATCACTAAAAGCTGACATCTCAGTTAATTGTGATCTTATAAAGCTCTGTTATAACACATTAAATATATGCACAATGAATCTTTCACCGTGTCTACACTTAGTGTGTTAAAATGAGAGGATTTTCACTGCAGTGAGTAGATTCTAACTTAATCACCTCTGATTGGCCATTGCGTTCCAGAAATCAACAGCTGAGTCTGTGATTGGCTACATTGCGCAACCCTTTAAACACGTGTTATAAATAGAAACTCTGCCTAGCTTGTGCATGTCAATCATTTTAATCCCGCGGGAGTGCAGGTCTCTACCCCTTACCATAGCCGCCTGTGAGCTTCAGTGTAAATATTGCATCAAAATCAAATCAATTTGAGCGCGATTTAAACCCAGATGATTGTAACCACTCTAAGTTCATCTGCCTTGGGAAAGCTAGCGTGTCTCCGACATAGTGATAACACTCGTTGCCTTCTCTAGTGCAGCTCAACCAGGTCTCGTCCCATTCGTCGATCTTGGTGATAATCACAAATCCCGGAAAATATGCGTTGTAGTCCAAACGAGTCGTTCGTTGTAGTTTTTGAAAAGTGATTTCTGTTAAATAAAATATCTCCTTTTGAAGTGGACTTTGTAACTTTGCAGATCTTTTTTATGCTCAAACAGCAACATTACAGACTAACTAAAGTTGAAAGTGAAAAAGCATAATAGGACCCCTTTAAGAGCAGAATGTCTTTTAGTGGCTGTGCACATGTAATGATGTACATACTGTAATATAACATTTATTATCTTTCATACTATACTTCACACTATAATGCTATGAACCCTAAAGTTGATTTAACCTATTTACTTCTTTAATCTATCAGTACATGGTGTTTTTTTTTTACAAAGTAGTTTTACAATTTACAGTATTTATAATATTGTATCATCCATAACATGAAAATAATTAGCGCTAATTGTATTAGCCAGAATTTTAATATCAGTTCATCCCTAGCATTTCATCATTATGCAGTTGAATTAATTTTTCTGTTTGTCTGTAGCACTTGTGCTGCCCAAGGCAGAGAAGCTTCTGAAGGTGAGTATCCAGCCGTACATCAGCTCAATCCTGGACGCGCTGATGGAGCCCACCAGCAGAGGCTTCTTTGAGGTGCGAGACTTGTTCTTCAGAGAGCTGGTAGACATGAGCAAGAACCTCCTCAATGACGGCAACAAGGAAAAACTCGGGGAGGTAACCCAAAGTCCCCTCCATGACATCTGGTTACACTTTCTTTGCTAATAGGTTGCTTGAGCCATGACTTAAGTAGACTTAAAACTCTTTTACCTTTGGTGTCCAGCACATGGAGAAGATCTCCATGCTAGCCTTCCATCCTGTGAAGATGCAGAGCTGCTATGAGAAGGTGGAGACCTTGAGTTTAGAGGGACTTCAGCAGCGCTTTGACGTTTCCAGCCCCTCTGTGTTTGTCCAGAGAGCCCAAATCCTAATGCGAGAGGTCAGTCATCTTTGAACCAAGAACAGCAGCAAACTCAGAAGAATTTCTTTTATAAACAAACAGCAACTAATACTGGCAAGTTCTCTAAAACAGTGGTACTAACAACAAAGTACAAATATCTGCCACACGTCTGAGATATTTTTATTATGTTTATGCGATCAGGATGGTTCGTTAAACTGCAGCTGGTTTGAAGAAGTATGCAAATTTCTCTGTTAGGGGGGTATTGTACTTTTGTGGGAAAAACGAACAGTTTGTGTTTGTCTCTGTGCCTCTTAGGGTTTGGTTTGTGGTTTCGTTGTGTATGAAACTGTATGCCCTGTGGAGTTATGTGCTGTTGTGGTAGAGATGTTAAACCTCATTTTGGTCACTAAATTACAGTGAATTGCAGTGAAATTGCAGTGAACTAGTCTTTAAAACTGCAGTTTTAAAGGCTAGCATATGTCTGCTGATTGTGAGCACAAGAAAAAAAAAAAGGTGTTTTTTTTTATAAAGTGCAAATCATGTTTTAGCACTTTATATAAAAGTCATTTTTACAACAGAGACAGATTTTCAAAGCACAGGGAGTGGAGAAACAAGACTGAACTTGAGACGTGAATTATCAAAATAATGTTGCTTCAACTTGTTCCCACCCTTTTTGTGTGGTTAAATGCCCCCTTGTGGCAAAATTGATTAAAATATGTGGAAAAATTATATTGTCCATTTCCTATCTAAGACATGAATCCTGTCACACTTTGACTAGAGGCTGGAATACACTACATGAATTTCAAAAGATTTTAAAATATGGCATCATACACTACTCGACTGAGGATCACGCACTACCAGAATTTCAAATTGTTCCACAAACACAAAAAACTTATGCGAAAACATGTGCCTTGTTGTTAGAAGACGCACACAAAAAACACCCAAATAAAAACAATATGTGCTTTAAAATTGGCTCAAAATATCAAACATATTGTCTGAATGGATGGAATTATGATCTGAAGCAAAAAAAAACTAAAAACATAGTATGCGCCCATCGTACACTACGCAATTTTCTGTGAAATCTGTCAACCCCGACTGGCCAAAATCCCCAGACTGGCAATGACTTTTGGAAACTAGTGTCGACTCCTCCAGACTGCAAATTGAGGGCAGAAAATCTGGGCAAAAGTTGTGTAGTGTATTGTAGCCTTAAGGATATATCCATCTGTTTCGTGCAGCAAATGGATGATGCAGTATACACATTTGAGCAGCTCCTGCACCAGAGTTTGGAGGGCCAGGAAAGGGAGGATCTTTGTAAAACCACCCAGCGCTGCCAGGATCGTGTCATCAAGGTGAAACAGAACGTCCATCTGCCGTATCATATCTTTTTGAACCAGTAGGTTCTTGTTTAAGATTTATAAATTTGTACTGTTTTTCAAAATTTGATGTCCAGAAATTTGACTACGACAGCAGTACAGTTCGTAAGAAGTTCTTCAGAGAGGCTCTTCTGCAGATATTCATCCCCTACATGCTGAAACAGCTCTCCCCATCATGCTCTGCTGTACGTCTTAGCTGTGGTAGAGCAACGATCATTATCCAATCTAAAACTTCTCAGAAAGTATTTAAAGTTATGTTGTTTATGCAGGAACTCCCCCGTTTCCAGGAGCTCATTTTTGAGGATTTCTCTCGTTTCATTCTGGTGGAAAACATATTTGAGGAAGTGGTGCTGCACACAGTCATGAAAGACATAATGATGGGTAAGACTTCTTTGAAAGAATTAGACCTTTACAAACCAAGAAGATTGAAACATTTAAAGTTGTGATGTTTTGGAATCAAATGTTTTCTTCTGTAATGTATTGTGATGTACATCCAAGTAAAACAGATTATTGGAAAAGGAAATGCCATCATACTATGCTCTTATCAACATTCCTTCTATGTTCCAGCTGTGAAGGAAGCAGCCGTCCAGAGGAGACACAACCTGTACCGAGACAGCATTGTTTTGACCAACAGCGACCCTAACCTTCACCTGTTAGGGGAGAATCCTCCCATTGACTGGGCTGAGGAATATGGAGGAGGTCAAGAGGAGGTGGATGGAGAGAATGCAGGAGATCCAGAGGCTCAAAAAAGGCGCAGGATGAAGCAGGTGGTCTCCATGATCCAGATAGAAGGCAATGCCTCTGTGCTGCCCAATGAATCATGCCTGGAAGTGCCCACTGTAGACAATATTCCAGAGGAGGAGGCGGAGGTACGTTCAGAGAAGCAAGTTCCCAATGGAACCAAAAAGGATGTGAACAAAAATGCGATTGATGAGATACCACCAACAAACGGAAGTGCAATAAAAGAGGAAGAAAGCACAACAGAAAAGTCACTGCAGGACACAGAGAGCAAGTCGGCCATAGACTGTGCCATACAGGAAATCGAGAATGCAGTTCAGGAAGAGGAACATGAACTCAGGACACAGAAAACTGCAGAGTCATCATCCTTGAAAGAGGAAACTGCAGCCGAGGAGGTAAAACCCACCTCAAATTGTGAAGAAGAGGCACGAATAAACCCAGCAGACACAAACAAAGATTCACCTTCAAGCACAGAGGAGGAGCCTTTGGATTCGCCGGTAAGGGACGGGGAAGCAGTGACACCATCAGACCAACAGGAAAATCACATTACGGCGAGCACTCATGACTCATCACAGCACGATGACAGCGGATTCCAGTCGCCCACTAATGAAGCAGCAGAAGAGGAACATCAGGCGGGAAAGGAGGAATGTAATGACTCTGAAACTGGAGAGGATATTGGGAAGGGAGAAAGTGCACATATGGATCACCAGTGAAATATCTCATGAACTCTGTTCATTTATTATGTGTTTATGCTTGTAAACAGTGAGTAAATGCATTACCCACTGCTCTAAAACGACTTTTGACTGAGTGACAGGAGCTTTTTTGTGGCTTTTTTGCCCGTAAAACACTTTTGTCTCACTACTCTGACTGTATAGACATTGTTGTCTATATCTTTTTGCATGCACACTCTCACATTTTTTTGCACTTAAAAAACAAAACAAAAACAAAGTCACTCTTAGAGCTGTGCTTGATTACAAACACATCCTAGGTTAAAATGTCTTCACCTTTCTGTTCACAAGTACAATATTCACCTTTATTAGGTCCTAGGTTTAGTGTCATTTCATTTGTGTGTGGTGCAGAATAACAGACTGCAGAAAATTTGTTTTTGCAGTGGAAATCAGCCACCTTATGCCTCATGATGATAGTATATGGTGCCTTATTGAAATCTGCATCTCGTATCTGATACAGTACTGCCTTACCAGAATTCACACTAAAGACACTGAATTTTATTTTTCATCAACATTATAATAGAGGCTTGTTTTATGCTTTCTTAATCGGTGAGATGGTTTGTAATCAAAGCATCCTTTTGACATAAAGAAGTCTGTTGAGTTGCCTGCACAGGAGACATTTAGCTTGTGAACTAATACTTGCTGGAATACTTGTTTGGAACGCCAAACAAGCTGCATCTTGTGTAAGCTTGTTTAAGACTGGAGTGTTGCTTGCATTGCTGCTGCTGGTGGAGTAAGCATTATTTTCTTAGACACTGCTGTCATTTGTTGTGATTACAGAAGTGACTGCATAGATTTTTCATTAACCAGGCCAAACTAGAATAACTGACTTTAAGCCATTTTCCATGTGGTGCTTTTCGCCTCCTTTTTCATTGTTGAATCTGGATTTTTTTTTTAAATTGCATTTAGTAATTGCATTATGATATCAGTATCTTCTGGGTTGCACATACACTGTATAGTTTTAGTTTATGTAGAGAATACTGCTCAATGGGTTGTGGGTCCTAGTGGAGATATGTGTCATGTTATTTGATTTAAGTACAGGTGACTTTTGTAAAGGGTAATCCAGAAGATTAGAGCCATCAAACTAGTATTCATATTTGTACAGCGCCACTGTTAGGGAACCAGAAAGTTATGTTAGATATTTGTATTTCAAATTTAAATTACAAGCAAATTATTGATGTGCAAAATGTTATCAATAGGGTCTGACTCCTATATCTGGCCACAACAGCTTCCTAATTTCTTCAATTCTGTTTAAAGATTGACTTTTTAAAGTAGTTGTATCTATGAAATGACAATGACTTCAACTTTTAATTAATGTAATTGAATATTTTTATTTATTAGTTACAGCACTTGGTACGATACGTTATCTTAACCTTTTTTATTGTATCCTGCTCAAATACTTTTGCATTTTTATTGTATTATCTTTTGGAAAAATAAATCAATATCTCTGAGAGTCTGCATATTTTTGTCTTTTATGCAGTTGTTTGCTGAATAGTATTTGAATTAGCTATATTTACATGACTTAAAGAGGTCATGAACTGAGAAATCAAAAGTCCCTCGATCTTTTTTGGTCGTTGTACTATACAAACATCCTGTAAATTTCAGAACTCAAAACTTTTTCGTTAGTCTAACAGCTTATATTGAAGCCAAAAAAAAACAGTTCATGACCCTTTTAAAGTGAAAATGTGGCTTGGTGTATCTGTCACACCAGCAGGCGGCAGTGCAAACGTTTGTCACGCTCGTTCAGGCACCACGATGAACATTCGGCAGTGATGTTTTTAATTCACCCCAGTGAATCGAATCTTTTGATTCGTTCACCAAAAAGGATTAATTGACTCTGTACAGGTTCAGTGAAGAGGTCATGATCGTTAGATGGGTTCAAAAATGCTCCATCACTGCCTGTATTCGAACTTGTAATAGTAAGCCTTTGAAGGCAGGAAAGCAATCACCTTCACAAGAGAGAAATTAAAGTGAACGAAAAATAATCACGAGAACTATTCGTTCACTTATTTATTTTTTTAAATACCAATTCGTTCACGAAAGAAACGTTTATGGCAGCCATTTGAGTGTTTATTAATTTAAAAAGTGTATTTTGTATGGAAATTAACCTATAAATGATGTAATTTAATTTATTTACATTTGTTTATCTTATTATTATTATTAAGACTTATTATAACAATAAATTATTTTTTTTATATATTATTTCAATATTTAGTTATATGAGTTACATAGATACAATACGTGACATTTGAACATTTTGCCCCTAATTATGCATATGAACTCCAACACCCGCGTTCGGCGTTATCCCCAACACGCACCTGTTAAAAGTAATATTTCTTTATTTGAGAGGGGACCGAAAAAAATATCCCGACGTGCTGACGACATCGTTTTGCGTAGCCTGAGCGCACACACAGCTCTGGTATTTTCCCCGCTCAGAGAGAGAGAGATCAGCGTCTCACGCAGCGTACAGCAAGGCACCAGCATCAGCATCGGCGGTGGACGAGACGCGCAGCACTGAATGATCCCGCGCACCGTGAACACATCTTACCGACTACACACTTGAGTGTCACTGCACAGAGATTACAGTCAAAGGTTTTTCACCACTGTGGGACGGGGGAATGATAAACCCCGGATCCCCCGGGCCGTTGTACTGTTCTTAAGGATGCGATCCCTGAGCCCACCGTGGGCCTCGCTACTCCCCGAGGCTTTCCTCATCACAACAGTCGCCGTCAGCGCTGCAATGGCAGGTAAGACACATTCAATTCATGGCATTTATGGGTATCGTGATGCCGGACAGGTGTCTTGGAATAAATAAGCAGTATCTGGCTATTTATATAGCCCAAAACAGCTTGTGCAGCCACATAGTGGGGATGTGTTTTGTATATTTTGCTTGTTCTGTGCACATGTGCACTGCAAGTATTTGTAAAAGTCATAATTAGACCATACAAGTATTTTTATATCAGAATTCTTTTGAAAGATTAATAATAATAGAATGTTTTTGCTTATACATTCAGTGATGGAAGGTCCCTTCTTTTAAATGAATTCAGACTTAGATTCTGTTTGAATTGGCTTTGATTTAAATGAATTTTTCTGCTGTTTGAAAAAACAAAGTAAACTTGAACAAAATAAAAATAAAAAAATGTTATGATATGGACACACATGTGGACCCTCTTATCCACATGTGTTTCCATTTTGGAAAATGTGTGCACTCATGGGTACATTCACACTGTTTTGATGTCATCATGTCTGTATGACAGTCATTACTCTGAGTTTCCCACTCTGCTCTTAAGATTTGTGACCCTGGACCACAAAACCAGTCATAAGGGTCCATTTTTTTAAATTGAGATTTATACATCATCTGAAAGCTGAATAAATACGCTTTCCATTGATGTATGGTTTGTTAGGATAGGACAATATTTGGCCGAGATACAACTATTTGAAAATCTGGAATCTGAGGGTGCAAAAAAATCAAAATATTGAGAAAATTGCCTTTAAAGTTGTCCAAATGAAGTCCTTAGCAATGCATATTACTAATCAAAAATTAAGTTTTGATTTATTTACGATAGGAAATTTACAAAATATCTTCATGGAACATGATCTTTACTTAATATCCTAATGTTTTTTGGCATAAAAGAAAAATCGATAATTTTGACCCATACAATGTTTTTTTGGCTATTGCTAAAAATATACACAAGCGACTTAAGACTGGTTTTGTAGTCCAGGGTCACATTTGGCATGAGTCCTGATAACGTCATTCATTGACACGCACACCCCAGGGGCTATTCTCTAACCCCTCAGCTTTGTGTAATGGAAACAGGCAATCAGCAGTCAGGAATGAGAACTCCAGACCCTGACACATTCCTCCTGCCACTCAGGTCTGGGTTATAAATAAGAACAATATGAATGTAGAGCATGACTGCCACTAGAGTCCCTCAAACCACGAGACCAAAGAAAAACTGAACCACATAGGGCATTTTTTGTTTTTGTTTTGTTTTTGTGCAAGACCTTGTACTCACATACAGTGGGTATAGAAAAGAATCACCCTCCTTTAAAAAAATCACATTTTCTTGCTTTGTAGCCTGAAATGAAGACGGACACAGTTTTTGTTTTATCCAGCTGTATTTACTCAGTGCAACTTATAACACCCAAGTGAAAGATATAACGCCAACATGTCAGAAAAATAAATAAATAAAATAAAATAACAGAGTTGGAAAAAGGATCACCCCCTTGTGCCAGTATGTTGTTGAACCACCTTTTGCTTTAACTACAGCCTTTAGTCTGTAACTTGGGATATGTCTCTACTAACTTTGCACATCTAGACTTTGCAATATTTGCCCACTCTTCTCTGCAGAACTGCTCAAGTTCAGATTAATTTGATGGTGAGCATTTGTGGCCTGCAGTCTTCAAGTCATTCCACAGATTTTCAGTGGGGTTTAAGTCTGGGCTCTGACTAGGCCATGCAGGGACATTCAACTGTCTCTCCTTCAACCACTGGGTGTGGGTGGTCAGTTTTGCTGTGTGCTTTGGGGCATTGTCATGTTGGAAGGTAAACTTTCTTCCCATTGACAACTTTCTGGCAGAGGACAGCAGATTTTCCTCAAGTATTTGACAGTATTTTGTCCCATCCGTTTTTCCTTCTATCTTGACAAGTGCTCCAGTCCCTGCTGCAGAGAAACACCCCATAACAGGATATTATCACCTCTATGCTTTACTGTAGGAATGCTGTTATTTGGATGGTGATAAAGCCTTTGAAAATGTGGTTACCATCTCCTGACTTGTGCCTGTCCACAGCTTTATCCCAGAGATCTTTTGACAGCTTTGCCACCCATAGTTGATTGTTTGCTTCAGTTGCACTACCAAGGACCGCAATGCTCCAGGAAAACTCTTTTCATGCTGAGTTTACAAGTCATTTTTAGGAGGGGTTCTGCCTTTTTCCAACTCGGTGATTCTGTTTTGTTTTTTGTTTTTTTCTGACATGTTGGCGTTATATGTTTCAGTTGGATGCTATAAGTTGCACTGAGTAAATACAGCTGGATAAAACAAAAACTGTGTCAGTCTTCATTTCAGGCTGCAAAGTAACAAAATGTGATTATTTTAAAGGGGGGTGATTCTTTTCTATACTGTAATCAGATACTTGCTGAGATATGTAGTTTTTGCTGTATATTCTCTGCAGCAGCTTATAGGATAATATATTATAGAATAGACCACCAAGGTTACCATTGTATTACCAAGTTGTTTTAAACTAATATGGGTATATTCTTTGAGGAATTAACTTTAGAGTACCATGAACCATGATTTAAGATAATCATTCAGTAGTACTATGAGGAATACATTATATAAAACTAACATAATGGTTTTCATCTGATAATAGACTTTTTAAAAATGATCTGTATTGATTGAGATTGAATATACATCGACTGGCATTGATGTTTAATTGTACATGCACATTTATCCTGTTTTTATATGTAATTACCTAAACATATTAATGATATTGTTAAAGGTAGTCTTTATCTAGATAATATAAAAATCAATAGCCATTTTTCATATTGTACATTATAATATTGTGATGCCTTTTGAAATTGTAGCATTTGAAATGATTAGTTTTAGTTTTTAGTGTTTTTTAAAGAGGTAATTCACCACAGACAAGGTGGGGTTTTAATAAAAGTTGGCTGTCTAAACAGTAGTAAAACAAATTTTTTTTTTTCGGTACTACACAACTAGAAAAAAACAGAGAAAAGGGTTGTGGAGAAGAAGACAGGAAACTTCAACACCCATAATGCACTGGGTTTGATTAGACTATCCGTGAGTGGGGATACAAAAATGCAGAAGTAATATCTGTAGTTTTCACAAAAGCCCTGGCGCTGTCAAAACTTGATGACAAATAAAAACTTGTT